TGCATGACTGGACTTTCTGCCTTTTCCTTTCCCGCTTCCAACCACCGTTTCTGCCGCTGTAGCAGGGTTACCTCCACCACCGAGATCGACCCGTTTCCCACCCCGAGCCTCCAATAATCGCCGCTCCTCCTCCGCAGCCAGACGAACCCACTCTTCATTTCGCGCCTTTCTTTCTCCCTCGACCCAACACCTCTCGAGGAACTTTACAAAAGCATTTATGGAGTAAAAGTCAGGGTTGCTCCACAGTGCGGTTACGGCGGAAAAGTACCAAGTTCTTGATACCAAGCAGCATGAGACGAGAGTGAGTCTGGTGATAGGTTTTGGAGAGGCCTCAATGAAAGTATGGGGTTGTGATCCTGCGACGTGCAGCAAGAGAACAAAAATGCGGTCCAATATTTCTGGAGGCAGGCGAGAGGGAGGAAGGACGGGCATACTGCTCTGATCTGCTCTGCTCTGAACGTGTTAAGCGTGGGAGTACGTTGGCCTTGAACGTGTGTTTGAACGTGTGGGAGTATGTTGGTTTATCTATTGGGATTGAACTGAGTCCTGAAGTTGAAAGTGAATCGAGACATGACGCAAAGCCACTCCCAACCTACAGCCAGCCACCAGCCAGCCACCCGGGTCACAGCGTTGGCATTGACGCGTTCGACGCGTTCGGCCGGTTCGGGCGGGCCGGTCTGGGCCGGTACGCGGATCGGCGGTTTCCCATTCAAGTTAATTAAGGAATTCCGCGGCGCCGTGTACCACTGTGTACCACGGGTACCCGGCAGAAAAGAGAAACAAGAAACAACCTTTCCGTTCAACTAACTCCCTCCTCTGCCACCATTGCAATGGACGAACTGCTGCAAAAGTTTGTAAATGCTCCAGAAGGTAGCCGGTCCGCGGCTTTGGGTGCCTTGTCCAAAGAACAGCTAGAGCAGCTTATGACCTCTGTGAGCAAAGCGGCCCAGAAAAAAAAAGTACGTTTTGCCCGTGTTCCGTCGTCGTTCCGTCGTCGTTTTTGGGTGTATTCATCCTATTTACTTTTTTACTTCTTAGTCCAAAGGTTTTGAGAGCCTAACCGAACGCGATCTTCAGGAGAGACTGAACCTAAACCTCACGAACGTATCCAATGACAAAATTGAGAAACCCTCCGTTTTTCTCCCTTCGCTTGACGTCTTCCCCTCGCGCGCTCCCTCCAAAGAACTAAAATTTATCTTGGGGAGGTTAAGGCGGGTTTGGACCCGGGCGTCCGAGGCTGGGTGTAGGACATTCATCGACGCAATAATTTCCGAAGCCTTGGATGTGGTAAATGGATGGGAAGGGGACGCAGGTGATGGCCAGGCCACAAAAGACAACAGCCTGCGGGCGTATCCTGAGGCAACACTCAAGCACCAGGGCGCATCCGGTACCGTCAAAGGGAGAGCAGACTACCTTATCGGCCACGTCAACGCCTCGAAACTTACCTACCTCCACATGGATGCTTTCATGATTGGCGTTGAAGCAAAAGTTGCTTGGACGGAATGGGCGTGGATACAGGCAGTCGGAGAGGGAGGCGCACTACTGCGCAAAAGGTTGAGCCACGATCGGCAGGGCCCCATCTTCGTCGTTCTCACAAATGCCAAAAACTGGCAATTTTTCGTTATCGACGAGGAGGGCTGGGTATACTCCAGCGGGAAGCCTATCCGGATCGATTTTGGGAATGACGAGGACTTGGAACTTGTACTGCGATGGCTGCGTTGGTTTGCAACTGCCGCAGCCGACATTAGTCCGCGCTCGTCCTTGTCCGACATCAACGCCAAACTCCGCGGCAAAATGGCCGAGCAGATTCGGACCTGTCTTTCTCGGGACGGGTTGGCGCCGCCGCCGTCATCCCTCGACTCCGCCCTAACCACCCTATCTTCATGGTCGTCGGATGATGATATGATGGGCGACCACGACGAAGACTCTGATGGTTCGGGTTGGGAGTACTCGTCGACGCGTTAACTGTACTCAATGTTAGTACAAACAGGCAGAAAACGGCCGCTGTTCTGCAAATAATATAAATGGCTGCGATGCGCACTTTGAGCAAATGCCCAAACATTAAACAGCACTTTTATACACCGAAACCCTTCACAATCGTACGGCAAGAATAACTTGACAAGAACCACAGAAACAAAGAAGCTCATACGCATCAAGCCAAATCACCCAGCAACCTAATTTGCTCAAACATTAAACAGCACTTTTATACACCGAAACCCTTCACAATCACAGTACTGACTGCGCCATCACCGGCTTAACTTCGGAGATCGACGGGATCCGGTGTATTCCGGTGTGTATAGCCGTAAAATGGGGATTGCGTAGGTCAAGGTAAGGGGGACCACGCATGGTTGGTATTCCACTCTACCCGGTGTTTGTTGTCCTTTTTGTATGATAAAAAGACGGGGTTGGTTTGAATAAACATGCATAAGAAAAGCGTCAAATGTCCGCAAGAAGAAGGAAAAAGAAGCGAGATCAATCATTTGGAAACGGCGCCGTGCACAAAGCTTTTCAGCGCTCCAATTCCGCTGGGTGGATGCTGCGCGCAAAGTCTTCTAAAACGCAGTCTATCAGCTACTCGACGTGGTTTTATGAGTGGGCCAAGCGTTTTCAATAAATGCATAAAAGGAACCTCAGACGCATTATCGTAAAGGTGTCAAACAGAACCGCAAAAAAAAAAGAAATTACAAAACAGGTCTCGCAGTGCGCCCCCGGTCGCTGAATCGGGGCCATCGCCCTTTTCAGATTCGCTGTCGTCAACTTAGACACCACCCTATTCCCCACTTTCGGGCAAATCGCGAGGGGACACAGTTATGGCATACAGATGAATGCCTTGGAGCTCCGGTGTTTGATGCCCAAACGCATTCATGTCCACATAGAAGGAAGAAAAAAAGAAGTGAGGTGGTTTTTCAGTGTATACATTTTAGAAACGGCGCCGTGTCCTGGCTGCAGACAAGTTTTCCAACCCTTCCATTCTCTTGTCCGTCTGAGAAAACCACCTAAAACATCGTAGAGCTACAACACCACCGCATTTGATGATGATAACAGCTCTAGTAAGGACAACAAACAGGTTTCTTTGCAATGAAATGCACTGTAAGGGGTGTCACAAACAACGACAAAAAAAAGAAAAAGACGCGAAAACAGCCTACAATCGAAATGCCGCCCAGACCCATTCCCACATATGGATTCACCGTTTTCTTCGTCTCCCTGATTCCACACTTGTGCGGAGAGCCCTACAATAAGACATCACACCTGCTTCATTTCGCAGTGTAGAAACACATCACCAAAAACCCGAATATTGATACACGAATGGGCTCTTCCTTTTCTCGCAGTCGCAGCTGGAAGGATGTTTCGGCGGTACCCACGAACAAAGCAAGCACCGAAAAAAAAAGTTCAGGAAACATTACGAAAATCTGACAACCGGGATAGGGGTAAGCGCTGGACTCTCCTTGGCTCGTCTTTTCTCGCAGTCGCAGCTAGAAGGATGGTCGCGCGGTATCCACAAAAAAGCAAGTGGCAAAAAAAAGGTGCGGATACAACAGAACAACGGAAAAATCTATGACCCCATGGCGTAGGTTCCGCTCATTAGAGTTCAGGCATTCTGTGGACATAATTGTGAAACGTGAAGACAGATGAAGTGTTGTATCACTTGACCGAGCAATGCATGATGCGTCGCCAAAGGGCAGGTCCTAAGATACTGAGAAGGCAAAAATTTACTCATATATTACCGACACAGTACCCAGAACGTATTGAAACGGTGCTCAGGTACCGACTCCACGGAGATTTCCTTCCTCTCATTTTTTTGTTGGACTGTGCGGCCATGGAACCCGGAAAATACAGCAGCACACACATTTGGTTTTGTGGAAATGCGGGAAGAAAGTGGCAGTATCTAAAGGCGCAGTTTCTGACGTATTGAAAAGGAAAGCATGTTTGGTTTCCCAAGGTGAACACATCCTAACCTTTGTGATGCTGTAAAGCTAAACAAACGTATGTAGAAGGAACACTTGGGAATATGGGCAGAATCACATATGGGCAGAATCACTTGGCGATGTAACTTGGAGGACTTTACCGGGTTGTTGGATATCATCGGGGGCCCGAGGCTCAAGGCCACCATTCATGACATCACGTGGGATTTTGTAGCAGAGGAAGAGGAGGGGTAGGGTACAAGAAGGGATCCATCATAGCAACGCAGAGTGCTTCTACGGGCGCATCCATGGTTTTTTTCGGTTCCACAATAAAACTCTTACCGAATCGGCGTACTGTAGAATTATTAGAATTGTTGCTTTCGAATCAAAAGGTCTCCGCACCATCCGTCCGTCCGCCTGGGGGCACCTAACCACCCGAAACGAGACCTTCTTCCAGCGTCTGTATCTACCTTCGTTTCTGTCATACCTGTGCCCGTACAGGTTCAAAAGTTTGCAACCAACCGATTTTTTCAACCTCGAGAGAGTGTCAGACAGCATTTCGCACTTCAGGCAGCACCCAAGGCCAAATCCCAAGAAACGTGTTCTTGAGACCGCGGTCCCACCTCCAAATGAGCAGAAACTCATCGTCATCCTTAACAGCGAATCACACTCCCCCTCACTGCTCCGCACCCGTCAGATATTTTTTTGGTGGCCAGTCGAAAGCCGATGTTGCGAAATGATCAATGTACCTATCGTACGGGTGCAGCGCGGCCGCGTGGGATCGCCCCAGGATCGACCCATGCCGGAGATGGCGCCGTTCACCTGCGCCATCGACGAAGGGTATCCGACAGATCACATCGTCTTTCAACACCCGTGTTCAAACAGGCCGACTTTATGCCAAAAATCGACACTCCAGCCACCTTCCCAACGTCGGTATCGCCATTTGCGTACCCCCAGAAGTCAAACTACCAAACGTTTAATCCGTCCAGCAAGCGCACGGCCTCAGAAACCATAGGATACCGTCCGTTCTGAAAATGCATCCAGACATATAGGGGACGGCCGCGGGCTCCAAAGCAAGAAGGAAAAAGAAGGAATTTCGGAGTGTTAGCTCAGTGGTAGAGCAATCGACTGCAGATCGATAGGTCTCCGGTTCAATCCCGGAACGCTCCTATGACGTCAATGAGTATCTGGTTCGAGGATTCCTCGCCTCTAATCTTCAATTTTTGACTTTTGTTCCCTTGAAGCCCTTTTTTTCGCACCCCGTTGAAGGGTCGAGAGTGTGGGACTATGATCAACCATAGACGTGAAGAAAGTTGCGGTTGGATGTGATGGTGGCGCCCATGTTAATTAATGAACATCAGGAGCGTTGCGGTCCGAAAGAGGGTACACGCATCAATGAACTGTTGCAAAGCAAAAAATAAAAGAAAATAATGTGCTTTTTCAGATTCCTATGCGGAACGAAACTGTACTAGAATTGTGGGATTCACAATGATCAGGGCGCACTGGATAGCACAAGTGGCAAACGCGTTCCAGGTGGTAGACCCCAGTCCGTTTCGTTTTCATGCCGTATTTGACGGTGGTGAACCTCTCCTATATAAACCGCGGGAGGTCCATGCGTTGTAAACGACAAGTAGTGCACAGAGCAAACAAACGCAAGAATGTGCATCCATGCATTTCTCCCACAAACAACTGGGGGCTAAAATGACCACATCCGGCATCACGGGGACACCATTCTCCCGTTCAACACATTATGTGAATTCATTTGGTTTCCATATGGCCTCGGGCAAATTCGCATGAGCGTTCCGAAAAACCCGTGTGAATCCTTAACGGTCAGGGCGGACAAGAAAGGAACTTCGTTTTCGGATACCCAAAGGTGCTTTGGAGTTTGCTGGAGATGAAAACTGGCGATCCCAACAATGCTATACCGCCAATCTCGGGTTTTCATGACTCTGGGTCGGGCAAGTTACGGTTACCGCATGTCAATAACTTGAATGGTTTCAGATCTTTAACACATGACGGGAATCGCGGGTTGCATATCCGTCACCCATTTTCCCCCGGTGTTCCGCGCAGGGGATGGCGGTGGATACTAAGGTGCTTGGGCAAACTCTCTTTTTTTCTGCTAGCGGAAAGACTCTATTCCTCGTGGTTTGCAGGCACTTATTGACAAGAGAAAAAAAAATACACAACATGTGCGAACTGACCATATGCCCGCGTCCGACCGGTGGTGGCCTGGCCTATAAGTATAGGGTCTGAATTACTTTTTATGGAAATGATTCTTCACAACATGGTTTTTTTTATGAGTAGCAGCAGTGGACTTTATATTGGTTGGCTGCATTGTTGAAGGCAACAAAACACTTGTCCTTGCCAAACTGTGAAACCGACCAGAAATTTCGGGTATCGTTGGCATGAGCGAAGGTACCAATTTGAGGACCCTCCAGGTTCTTTTTTTGCTTTCCGGCTCTCTTGTCACAACCAAAAAAACATCAAGGAAGGTCGAAAGCGCCTCGCTGGCTACAACGATGTCGGCGTGCTTAACTTTGCGTCCGCCGGTGTGCTCGCCGGGCATCCGCCATTTTCACACCAATCACGAATTTCGCCGTCGGGCTATCCTACTCTCCCAGGGACGGTGAGAACGCCGGTTTTCTGGATACCGTCGGCACTGGCCTCAACTGTGTTCGTGAAGGCCAAATGGGTAGACTTGTATTTTCATTTGGATACCCGCCATTCATTCTCATTATGTACAGCGCAGCGCAGTAATGAGGTAGGAGAGCAATCCTCTTCAGAGGCTGCACAGCTCGTGGACGATGTTTGATGTAAGGTGCTCGACGGCACGTCCCCTCCCTTGGACTGGATCACCCCGGAGCGATCACCATCGCCAATGAAAAGCCAGACCCAAGGGCCACGTCAGGTACCTCCAGAACCTTTAGCGTAAGATCCATTTGGGTACTGTAGATTTGATGGCCAGACGTCGTTTTCTGGACGCGTCGCTGTTTTGTCTTTGTCGAGGGAGGCGTCAAGGCATTGTGGGTTTACGTATGATATTTGAGATGTGGACAATGGGGTAAAACTCCTTGGGGTAATTTGGCTTTTGGTTTTCACGTGTAATGAACATGTACCTTGGTTGGTCGGGAAAAAAATGGATGGCGATCTCCTAAAACCGGTCTGGATACCCCTCCGCGCCTGTCGGCAGGGTGGGGGCTTTGGAGTCGTTTTGTTGTCAACCGTTGGACTTTTAAAATCAAAGAAACGTTTTCCGGCACTATTCCATTCACCGTATGCGATACCAGTACACCTACATTGAAGTTTTGTGAGTATCCCGGGGGAGGGTCCTCCAAGAAAAGGGCACAGAAGAAAGCTGGGGTAAGCGTTGAGATCCCTACCCCGGTCTCAGATATTTGTTTGCAGGATTGGACGCAAAACGTTTTCACTAGGTGCGCCTTTGCCGCAAACGGCGCGCGAAATGACTATCTCTTAATCGTGTCCTGGGTTTGCAAAGGCAAAATCCCTACAAGGAAAAACTAACCGGGCGATGTGTCCAGCCAATACTCATTTCCCTCTGAAGGACACTGAAAAATAGGAAAAAATGTCGTCTGAAGGAGGAAGCTGCGCTCCAGACTGCCCGCATTCTGCTGGAATTTCCAGGACGTTCTTTCACTGACGGGCACTTCAATATGGGCCAAGTCCGTGTACAGGCCAGCTTTGTCAAATTCAACCTCTTATATCTGTTAAAACACCGACTCTTTTTTGCCATACGTTCCCGGCCGTGCAGTTTTCATAACACCTCTACAATATGTTCCGGTTCAATACGCGTCGTTCCACTTTGGATACCCAGGGATATGCAGGCTTACGTTTGCCATCGGCTTTGAATTTCAGGGTCCGCAAACAAACACCTCCGCGTAGATCTTTATGCAAGAAGGGACTAAGGGGCTCATCTTCTTGAATACTTGTCCCTGAAAATGTTTATTTGAAAGCCTAAAGTGATTGATTGGAAGGGTAATCCGTTGATTTCTTGCATTGAAACGTGGCAGAAAAGGGTCAGGGGCCTCCGGAACTTGCCCTGCCTTCAAATTTTTAAAAGTCTTGCTTTTTAAAAGAACATGTGGGGGCATTTTTAAGGAAATCGGGCCGTGTACATTTGGTAGATCTGCTCGCTATGGGAATCTTGTCATTTGGCCCATCTCCATACAAGGGACGCGTCAAAGTACGAAATGACGGGCCCCCTCCTTCCGTATCACGCTGTTGTAATAGAACAGGACAGATCAAAAAGATGAGCCCGTGCGGAGAATGCAAAGTAAATCAACGCGACGTGGTCATAATCAAAGAGCGAAGGGAAATGCCCCACGGGATGGCAAACTCGATAACGAAGCGGGCGAGCGCAGCCCTATAAATACAGAGACGTGCCCTCTAATTTCGATATATTGGCTACTTTCCCGGCTGAAACATGAAGCTCTCATCCACTCTCGCCGTTGTTGGCCGCAATAGGCACAGTGTCAGCGCAGCTCCCAGGTTTCGATGACTATTCTCACTGCGCGAAAGTTGACATCCGCAAGGAGCAGCATGGTACCGGTCGCGTCGCGGCAACCTGTCTGCTTGGCAACAGATATCATGGATTCATGTTGCGTACAACCAGAAAATCCGCAACAACAACATCTTCCATCCTTGGCACCGTCACTTCCTTCGCGACGTCGAAACCTTTATTCAGAAGCACTACTACGACAAATTTACCTTCCATTACTGGGCCACCCAACATCAACCCAGCCCGCCCGAATGGTGCATGGACCCCAACTGGAAATATGTCGGCCAGGCGAACTGGGCTGATACCCTCGAAGACGGACCGTTAGGCAACATCAATTTCGTACCCTTCAAGTCTGGCCTTAAAAGGACCTACTATCTTTGGAAGGGCGACTATTGCTGGAACGCCACCTTTGCGGAGGGAAGTTTCCGCGACCCCTGGGCAGCGCAAGAGTTTTACGATGCAGCGTACCAGGACACGAAAGAAATTGGGTTCACGAAGTGGGCTGAGACCACCGAAGCCTTGCATGGGTTCGTTCACAACTCCCAAGGCGGCTCACAGGCGCAAATGACGACCGCGGAATCACCCTTGGATGACCGTGAGTATCTTTTCCATTGCACACTTTCTCTTCCATGTCTATCCGTCAGGCTACTCAACGCTCCGTCCAACCCTGCACCGCACAGTCTTCTGGTTGCACCACTCCAACGTCGACCTCCTCTGGCACGACGTCCAAACCCGCTGGAACACCGACAACAAAAACCAAACCTTCCAAATCGGCGGTTCCTGTCCCGACGGAAAGGACTGTCTCACCGTCGACACCATCCTCCCTTACTACGGCATCCGTCTCGGCGACGTCCAATTCATCGCCCAACAATGCGTCAAATACGCGCCGATGGTTAAAGGCGCACCCACCACCCTCAACCCATCGCAATATTGCCCGTACATCAAGCCGGTGGAGGAGAAAGTCGACTGTGGATTCCCCGGTATCACCGCGCAGCAGTGCCAGGCAAAAGGGTGCTGCTGGGTTCCCGACAAAGCCGGGTCCAAGACCCCGTGGTGTTTCGTCAACCCGGCGAGCGGTGTGCTGAACATGAAACCCAAGTTGACGAGTCTTAACCCTAACGCCGCGCCTGGTTGTCGCGCTAAGCAACCTGTCCTCTTGCCGCCGTTGCCGGAGAAGTGGTTCACAATGAATTGGGGTGAACGTGGGTCAGAAGTGAAAAGAACTTTGAGGAATGGGTGGGAAGTGTTAACAGAAGGATCAAGCAGGGTCAGGCGATCGCGCCGGTTTCGCGGTCCAGGTGGTGTTAAGTCTTTTGGAGCCGGGTTTGCCCGGTTTTATGATGGATGAGTGAGTTACAGTTAGGACGAGTGAATTAGAGTTGGGCGGGAGGACGAGTG